TGAAAACCCTGACCAGGATACTTGTTCACAGACCGCGTCAGGATTCCTCGATAGGGACATCGGGATCACTGTAATCAATGGTTATTGACACTAAGTGATACGGCTGAGTATCGTAAACAGTGGCGCTCTTGCATCTTCTCATCATCCCTGCAACCGTAAATTCTTCATTTTCATTCTGACACAGATTGGAACATTCCGATTTTTTGTTTACTCTTTCATCCACACGGACAGTCACGAAACAGCAAACAAAAACTGCGCATGAAAGTGCATGGTCAACCGTGTTGTAAATGTTAAACTGAGGTTCAACCCCCATCACCACCACCCAACTTTGGTAGTAGGTAACTTTGCCGTCTTCTGGTTCAACACCACGGTTAACTTAGCGGGACCTGATGTGGCTCGCACTCCAGGTGCGACTATAAGGTTCACTCAGTATGCTATTCATCACAAAATGTGCAATAAAAAAGTAGATGGTCAAAGGGAAAGCCATCTGGCCTTTGCCTGTACACTGACTGTGGTGGTTATTGCTGATGCACCTTAATGTTTGTTCTCTATTGCTTGTTCGAGGTTACTCGTTCAACGCAATCAACAGGATCAAAGATGTGCTTTTCGATAACCTTATATGAGAACAGACATACCCTTTACGTTCCACGCCACCATCAAAATCCGGCGATCCCAAGGACGATCGCGAATCAAACGGATGACTTCATCCAACTGATCAACACCCTGTCCGGTGTAATCCGTCTTGCAGTCAACATAATCAGCGCCCCAGTGACGCCACTGAAATCCATAGACAGGCCCCAGATCACCTAAAATAATTGGTAGATAAATTACAAAACTGTGAATACTCAGTGTGTAAAATGATAAACCGATATCCATACCGATGAAATAATCAATCAATCAATAATTTTCATTTGCTCGCCTATCTAGGGGTACAGGATTTGAACTATCCAAATACTCGTGAAAGCCCGAGAAGAACTTGTGCCTACATTCGTTCTTTGTGATGGCCTGTCAGATACAGTTGGTGCTGTAAACAAATTCGGACCCTGAAAGCAGCTAGCGATGTTGATGAGATCATCCCTTCATGGATGGCGACAACTAGACTAGTGTGGTGGGGTCTTTGAACTGGTCATGCTTGCTGCATTACTGGTGCTGCTTTGATATGCCCCCTCTAGTATTCATCTGACCGAACTTTTGTACATCGGTAGCACGACCTAGACGCGAGAATGCAGTGCACATTTTAGAAAAAGCAAACAACTATCCGCGGAAATCAGTGAAAAATTACCTTTTATCTTAATATGTGAGAAATAAACGGAAACGAATTACAGAAAATGCGATGAGCAGTGCAAGCACTGTACAGACTGAAACAATCAATCACAAGGACAGTTCTCAAATCGAAAGGAACTTAATGGTGTAACGACCTTGGCTATTCGCGAGTGCGTTTGAGTGTGAATCGTGTTCATGTCTCACTGAACCCTTTGGTTCATGGTGTCTGCATTTTCCTCTTTTAGATTGTCAGTCAACCCCCTCTCCAAAAAGAACATCCTGTCTGTCGACGGTTCCAGTTCACACCTAGACTCGGTCCACTTGCGGTTTTCTGATGTATTCTTTCACGGGGGGCATCCTGCTGCACATACGAGCCAAGCATCTCAGTTCTCAAATCGGAAAGAACTTAGTGGCATGGTGGTAAATTACAAAACCATTTCATCCACAGAAGTGGAGAGAAACCAAAAAATCAGTGAAAGTTCACAGTGAAACCTGTGAACAGCTGACCCATACACCAATGTGAGAGTGAGGATAATGCTCCCCGCAAAACAATCAAAGATATGTTTGATCACGAAACAGCTCAGAGGCCAGTTACCTTCCTCTCTATTGGGGAACCCCAGGTTATCCAGAACTGTCCTTGATGCGTTCGCATCCCAGAAGTGAACATTTCGAGCGGCAAGTTCTTTGGAATCGGTGGAACCACGAATAAACCACAACAGCTCTTCGACGATACCGCGAAAGAAAACCTGAGAATGAAAGTACTGCGTTTTTTAAGCAAAACAAAAAATCGGAAAAACTCAAGTGAAACAACGCTGACAATGTCAACCACAATCGCCGTAGAGAAAATGATTTTGAGTAAGTCGCGAGAGAGAGAAATAACCCAACTGTGATGAACGGTGCACGCCTGAGAACCAGGCTAGTTTTAGACCTAGTCTAGGTTGTATAGACCACATTTTCAACTTTCGCCAAATTTTAGAACAAAGACACCCCTTCCTTAGATCCACCATTTCTATCTTAATCGGTATGAAAGCGACTTTCGACTCGGTCGACCGCGCTAAACTCTGGCTCTGCTTCTCTCTGAAGGGTGTGCGGGAGAAGTTCATTCCAATATTACTATCCCTTTGTATTGATAGANGATAGACGAAGTTGAGTCCGTGCTTACGGCACATTTCCGCCTGAGCTCCCTACACATAGCGGTATTCGCCAGCGTTGCCCTCTCTCTTCGTTTCTATTTAACTGTGTCACATATACAATTCTTGAAACAGTCCTATCCTCGTGCGAAGATAGCGCTTTCCGTTTGCTCCCAGGTGGTAGACTGTCTGATNCTGTCTGATCCGGAGTATGCAGACGACATTGTGCTACTAAGTGAAGATTCAGGCACGTTGCAAGTTTTTCTGAATAGTTTGGGTGTTAGTTTAGCCATGCTTGGTATGCGTTTTGCACGTCCAAGGTGTAAAATGTTACTGCAAGATTGGCTTTGTTTGGCTCCCAACCTCACTCCAACTAGAGAAGTGGGAGGAAGTAGACAAATTTTGCAGTTTCAGGAGCTATATCTCATCTGCCGGACGCGTAGCAGATGAAGTGTCGGCACGCATACAGAAGGCTAGGTTGGCATTTACCAACGTGAAACCGAAAAAGTTGTACAATTGTTACCAATCATTAAACGAAAGAGAAATGCTCACTTCCATAAATCGCTTATTTTGGTTAATTAATATGCCTACTGTCGTATAGTTAAGTAGGTAAACACAAAAACGTAATTTCGCTATTTATCTGCTGAAATGCGATCATCTCACGTCAAACCGCTTTCTTTGCTGACTTATATGTGAAACAGCTTCTGGGTCAGTTCTCAACATTGTTCTCAGGCGGCATATTTTTAAAGGGACTACAAAGCAGCATACTTTTATAGATTCTTGAGGCAAAAAAACGTTAAATAACTGAGTCCATTCTGTTCCGTACTTCCGTGAAATGTGATCTGTTTATTTGTAGGTACATTTTTTCACATTTTGCAAATTGTTTCATCTTCTCCGAACGCGTTCTTTTACCTCATTGGAGGAACTTCTGCATACAAAACTGAGTGGATGAACAAGCATCGTCTATGAAAACCACTGACTGGTTGACTGGTCACCGCCGGTAAGCACTGACCCACTTACACAACTCGGTCCATCGCTCACAATACATCGAACGATTATCTAACTACCTTCAATATTTTTCAACCACTATCTCATTCAACAAACGGTACGCAATAAAGAATTATGTGCAGTGACAGAAGTAAAACAGGACCCACCGATCGCTTTCTAAGAACGTCGATTGCTTGAATTAATTAATTAATTAATTAATTAATACATGGTTATGATCATCAAACAGCCTACAGTTAGGTGTATCTCTCGCCAACTATTACAACAGATAGCCGAACTCAATCCAGTCATGAGAACACAATTTGGTAAACAAGCTCACTTTGGTGCTGCATCAAACAAGTGGTGATAGGGGACATATCTGCGAAGGAAATCAGTTTGGAAAGAGATGTAATTGTGATAATTTACATTTTCGAGTACGTATCTATGTGTATGGAGAGTGGATGATGGAGGATGGTTGTGAAAGGGTGATTGGATAAATGAGCGAAAGTTCATAAACAGATTATAATCTGGACAATAAGCGGATGGCTATGGTAAGATCAGTATTCTTAAAAACTGGTTCCGGACGTATGCGGGCAATCGCTTCATCTCAAATAGCCTCCCCGGATGAACTCCTACTCACTGCCTACTCGTGGTGGTGTTTTTCCACCAAAGTGAGAGGACGAAAAGCCGATATCCGGGGATACAACCGGGTTGGTGGACCACTGGTAGTTCACCTAGGGGCGTTGGCCAAACATAATATAATGAAAAATTGCCGAGTCACAACAAGAAACCAAACCTGCTTCAACGAAAGGTCTGTAGTGAATCGTGGAGACAAACAGCATATTCAACAAATGGCAGAATCAAAAAGCTTAGATCCACGAATGACAGAACAAGTCCATCGTCATAATCAGAACACAGAAAGCAAGCGATGAATTCGTCCTCAAACCATTACCGTAACATTTATGTAAGAAGATACTGGGAGGGTGATGTGTTGGGGTCAAACAATGACAGTAAATACATTTAAATACGTATACCTCGTGGGGAATTAACGATCCCCCAAGGAATGAAACCCACACCGAAGTCCATCAACAGGGCCTGGCGCATTTGAAAAACCGAATGATTCAACCTAAGCATTCGCTGTCTGAATTGTTTTTAATGACTTGAAAATGAACTCACCGAAAACATGTACACCTACGGTTTGTGTTCAGGTTCCAAAATCAACTGCATATTTTTTCTAGATAGCAATAAATATTTGGTTCATGTGAAACCCTTTGCAGTTGTGATTGGCTTCCGGGGGCGTATTCATTAAACGGAGTCAAGATATCAACCATCAGTGAAGAACACTCGGTATGCACTAATGATTACTTCTAACAAGGATGAAACAATTGACACCTCGCGAAATCACGCTTTCAGACATCCAGAGGCAATTCTTCAACCAACGACCTCCCGGAATCAGAAGCTAACAGGAACAGTACGAACGTTATATTCAAGGACGTATAACTGCGATAGATCTCAAGGAAGAACGCGCTCATTATATAAAACTGACTTAAATTTGGGAATTACAGAAAACACGGGCAATTTCTGTCGTTCCAACTCGCTCCCCTACTTGTAATTCCTCAAGAGATATTGGTTTCAACCACACAAGAAAGCTGAGTTTTGTGCCTCCGGGTTTGCCGCCAACTCCACCTTACCTAATCATTCTACTCCTATACTTTTCTATTTCACTGGAAAATTTTCCTATATCATATGAGCACTTTTCCAACCACCTGGAAATACGCCATGATATTTTCCCATGAAATCACGCTTTCAGACATCCAGAGGCAATTCTTCAACCAACGACCTCCCGGAATCAGAAGCTAACAGGAACAGTACGAACGTTATATTCAAGGACGTATAACTGCGATAGATCTCAAGGAAGAACGCGCTCATTATATAAAACTGACTTAAATTTGGGAATTACAGAAAACACGGGCAATTTCTGTCGTTCCAACTCGCTCCCCTACTTGTAATTCCTCAAGAGATATTGGTTTCAACCACACAAGAAAGCTGAGTTTTGTGCCTCCGGGTTTGCCGCCAACTCCACCTTACCTAATCATTCTACTCCTATACTTTTCTATTTCACTGGAAAATTTTCCTATATCATATGAGCACTTTTCCAACCACCTGGAAATACGCCATGATATTTTCCCATCCTCAAACGTGGTGATCTTTCTGATCCCAACAATTGCCGATCCACTTCACCCACATCCGTCCTTTCGAAATTATGTGAAACCAGCAGCTGCGACCAACTACGCAATTTCGCTCGAAACTGAAAGACTACTGACCGACCAAAAGTATGGCTTCCGACAGCATCGTTCCATCGATGACTTACTGCCTCTTGTCCCACAAACCTAGTAGGCTGCGCTCCATAACCACAGAGAAACAAACTTGGTCTCGCTAGATATTTCAAAGGCCTTCGATTGAGT